CTCGAACACGGTGCTAACTGCAAAAGATTTTTCAGAATTCTGGATTTAACGACGGGGTACCTAATTAGATTATGTCATGACGTAAATGACGATGTTGCAATTTTCACAAAGTTAAGCCTGGTCTTTCCGGGCTCGAAAACAACACTATTTCCACTTACAAAACAAACATTTGAATTTACTTACACTGACTTTCTTTGCCATTTAAAAACTACACAAAGGTAAATCTTTGTGGATTAATCGCCCATTTAAGTGAATAATGCTTTCCGTAAGATCACTGTTTTTGAGGAAAACATCGTCATGGTAGTTATGTTTCAAAATTTGCTTGGGAGCCTTTTACCTTTTTCTTTACACAAATAAAAATGTTTCTGTGAAGCCTCTCTCTTTAGTTTGCATAACCTCTTTTTTCTATACTATCTACTCGCTAAGAAATTTTTCAGTTTGTGGCAAGTATTTCGTTAGGTGTTTGAAAATAAGTATAAATGTTATTCACCAGCCTAGGTTGGTCCGTATTATATGTATTATATCAATTAACGATTACATTAAGTAAAACAGAAATTCTTGTGACAAGTTTTCCAACTAAGTAAACTAGATGAATTACCGAGTCACGTGATGATTAATGCGCCCGAAGCCAAATGAACCGCCCATAGCATGGCGGGCAACAATTACACAAATCCAAACCGCAGTACTCGTAATATGACCGCGTGCCGAAGAAGTGAGAATACTTCGCAAGGCTTTCGACGCATATCTTTTCACGCACTGTGTTTTCATCAACAACGTTAATTTGCTTTAAAGTTTAGTCTTGGGTGAGCAATTTTGAAAAGATTTTCATATCGTAACTGAGCTCTGATAATGGCTGCTCCTGGGGACTAAAAAAACTACGTAAAGTCTTTTTTGACTTGTATTTACCTGGTTGCCTGATCTTTGCCTTCCCTACCCACCCTCGATACAGAGTTGACTTTGATTATGATGCCTGTGCTTTTAGTCCTCGTTTGGCAGGTGGTGAGGTTTGTAAGGAAAGGCGGGGGGAGGGGGGGAGGGGAACAATTAGAAGGAGTTTTATCGCCAGCCACAAACTTTTTTTTCTCCACCGATTATGTATTTTTCAGTAGCAAGTAGTTTATATCTGCGTGAGACTTTTTCGGTCGTGTGGATGTTACAGCTGTAAATAAGGATTTATGTTGGTTGGTACTTACAGTCTTCTGAGCAACCAAACCCATCTGAAAACTCCTGAGGGTAAATCCTTTAACTGATTATGGGATAAGTCCCTGTGAACAAGAAATCATCACATCAAATATTAGAACTACGTTGTTAGATAAAGCTTATAACTTCATATGACTCCTACCGGAAGAAGGTCTCGTTTTATTACGTTTTCAGCGCCCCTCGAATAAATTACCGCCCCCCTTTCCCCTCCTTCCTCACTGTCTCAGATACCAAGAAAACCTGTTTCTATTGCCACTTTATCTATAACTCTTTAACCTTCAACTACAGCTGAATCAGTACAAGTTAATAGCTTCTTAATAAGCGCCCTCCTTCCAATAAGCGTCCCTTCTCTCTGCCCAAATTTGAAATAAGCGTTCAGGCGATTGTTCGAGGAAGTGCTTTGTATAAAATTGGCAAATTTGGTTTGACGGAAGGGATTTATTATTGAAAATCAATAGGAACTCGCGATGTAACTAGTCAAGATAAAGTTTTTTGATACAAATATTACGTTTTCGGGAGCCCATTAAAATGGGCTCCTGACATTTTCAAATAATTCAAGACTTCTCTGAATTTATGTATTAACACACCCCTCTCACCCACTGCTGCGAAAATAAGTAATTTGAGACTGCATTAGGGGTCATCTTCAATTTTACAAGCCACCTCCTCCTCCGTGAGAAATTTTATTGCCGCCATTTTCGATATTACGATTACAAACCCATCAATACAGCTTTTGTTTTGTACAAAGAAAATAAGGCAACATCATCTAATGCTTACCAAAGATTAAATAATGAATTTTAGAAAAACTGAAACTTTTCAGACTTTGGTCTATTGATCTGTGTTTATTGTCTGGTACGTGGGTTGTTATGTTTATATATAGATAAATATACCCAACGTGAAAAACTTCTGATTGGTCCAAGCGAATTCAGTATATCACACAGTGCGACGTATCCGCGCAGTCTGCGTCGTAAAGAATTTTGTCATCTGGGTGGAAAAATTCTGTTTTTCTGTTATTGTGCTTACGGAAATAACCAAGGAGTTCATTATGGCAGTTTTCGACAAAAAACAGATGATTCCATAGGCATTAGGCTGATCGTTTTAAAACCTAATCCAAACTTTAATGTTTAATTTCAATTTCCTTAGCACGACAAAGTGACTTAAAAACGGCAAACAACACGAAAATTTGGTACAAAAACTGTCCCGTTGTGAATTTGATGAGAGAAATAAGACAAGGAGAAACGTCTCCAAACTCTTAAGAGAAAACTGCCGGGTAGTACTTAGGTAATTTGAACTATCTGCTAGCCCGGAACCGAGTGTTTGGATAGTCACAAATACCATATCATGCGGCAACGGACACTCGAGCAGGTAATATGAGGCAAATTGTTGTCATTTTTCTGGCATCGCAGAAATGCACCAATATTTGGCATGAGCGGTTTTTGCCAGTGATGATGCGGATGCGGCATGTTGAAATGGAAGAACTGGTGAAGCGTGCGCCCTGTCATTTCAGTGGCTGATGCGAGGCCTTTTATCCTTTGAGAAAAGGTGGTATGTGCTAACTTCCTGTGACTGAAACAAAGGGTGCAGCAGGAGTTGAAAGGAACGTAGGTTAGCGCTGAAACTATACATCTTTGGCCAATTGTGTGCTTGACTTACCAAATTCAGGAAAATCCTACTCCAAAATTTACAGGTATTTGTTACTGGATTTTGCATGTATTTTCAGACAGTGGAATTAGTGTCAAGAAGACCCACACTCTAACTTAGTGAAGGTTTTCCTTGAATATGTTGTCAACGAACTAAGCCTGTTATGGCTGCACCACATGCCACATTGGATGTATATTCCGAAGACATTTCTTTCTCAAACTGGTCTGTGGATATTACCCAGTAATTAAATACAGTATGATGTAATAAAGTATCTTTCAGCCGACATTGGGCTATTTTAGACACCATAATCCACGAATCACAGCTTAGGCGCCGTTACACTTTACTTACAGAGAGTCGCTCTCTAATTCGAAAGCACGCTCTTCCAAACCTCGTAATCTCTGGTACAAACCTCATGTAAGAAACACCGTTCAGTCCTTCTCTTACAATGATTTAGGTTGCGTTTCTATTAGCCAATCTAAATCCTGATTTTCCGATCCACATACAGTTTTCTGCTTCATCAAGGAGAAAACAAGTTTAAGACTACAATCGGAACGATCTCCCTCCGAACTTGGATCGCACGGGTCGGTATATCACTTTGGATCCCGATTACGTGGTGGACACTAGTGATTAACATGGCGGTTCAAAAAATGAAAAATGAGCAACTGTCATTTTCAAGTCAGCCCAAGTTCTTGAACACTGCTGTGCTCCTCTTGAAGTTTTTAAGATTATGGAAGTTGAACTTGAATGTTAAGAATAAAACGAAGAAGTTGGAAATTCGCCCAGTTAAGACCGTAAACAGCATTTAATTTTTTTGCACGGCGTAAGCATCCGTCCGAACTGCAACATTTCTGTGAGTTTTCTTGAGCTTCTCAAGCATCGTAAAAATGAGCAAGTCATCCATTTTCATGACGTTTTCCCTTGTTTCTGTTTTCTTTAACAAGTTCTTCCAGAATAGAGTGAAAGGCTGAAGGTAATCTAAAAA